TCCTTGGGCTTTCCAGTCTCCAAAATCAATCTCCTTTCTTAATAATCACCCAATAACAGGTTCTTTGCTATAGCGATAGAAAATTAATAGCAATTCCAGACCACTGAATGCAAAGAAATGGGGCTGGCAATGTGGTCCAATGGGCTAAGCTGCTGCCTTTGAGGCAGGCTTCCCGTATGAGCAGCGATCCTAGGCCCAAGCTTTCCAGCTCCCTGCTAATGCTCCTGAGAAAGTCGCAGATGCCAGCCCAAGGGCTTGGGTCCCTGTCCCTCATGTGGGAGATCCAAATGGAGTTTGGGGCTCTTGGCTTCCAGTCTGCCTCAGCTCCAGCTACTTCAGCCATTTTGGGGAATGAACCAGCAGATAGAAGATCTCTGTGCTCTCCCACTGCCTGTATAACTGTGCCTTTTTAATACATTTTTAAAAAATCTTTGTAAAAGTGTATTTAAGAGTTTAAACGAGAGAGAGAGACAGAGATGGGGCCTGGCGCCATGGCCTAGTGGTTTAAGTCCTCACCTTGAATGTGCCAGGATCCCATATGAGCACCAGTTCTAATCTAGCTCCCTGCTTGTGGCCTGGGAAAGCAGTTGAGGACGACTCAAAGCCTTGCATCCACGTGGGAGACCAGAAAGAGCTCCAGGTTCCTGGCTTCGGATTGACACAGCACCAGCCATTGCGGTCACTTGGGGAGTGAATCATCAGACGGATCTTCCTCCCTGTCTCTCCTCCTCTCTGTATATCTGACTTTGTAATATAAAATAAATAAACCTTTAAGAGAGAGAGAGAGAGAGAGATGGCAGGAGAGCTGGCGTGGGGAGATCTTCTGAGATGATGGCCTCTTAGCACGCAAGGCCTCTGAATTCTGGATCTTGTGCGAGAGGTTCCTGCTTTCCCCACCCAGGCCTTAACGTGAGTGCGACAGGCAGGAAGGGGGAGGAACTAGCTCCCATTTGCCACAGCCAAAACCCAGTGTGCTTACACCTGCCCAGGAACTCTGGCTACAAGGTCTTGGTGGGGTGGAAGTCAGTTTGGTGTCTCATCATTGCATGCCCCACGGGTAGCCGAGGAGCTCTGGGTGATGAGAAGTGGTGTTGGTGGGAGAGGACAGCCAAGGCTTCTACGGCAAGGGAAGACTAGAGACCCCAAAGTGGTACCCAGCAGGTGTCTAACACCCAGGGGTGATGCTGAGCCAAGAGGGAGCCGAGGGGCTCAGCGCAGGAAGCCTAGTGGCTAAGGTCCTCGCCTTGCAGGAGGCAGGATTCCCATATGGGCTTCAGTTCATGTCCTGGCTGCTCCACTTCTCTTCCAGCACTCTGTTTACGGCCTGGGAAAGTGGAAGGGAACAGCCCAGGGCCTTGGGACCCCGCACCCACATCAGAGACCTGGAAGAGGTTGCTGTCTCCTGGCTTTCATTCAGCTCAGTTCAGGCTGTTGTGGCTGCTTGGGGAGTGAACCAGTGGATGGAATATCTTTCTGCCTCTCCTTTTCTCTGTAAATCTGACTTTCCATTAAAAAAAAATAAATATATTAGAAAAAAAAGAGAGAGAGGGAGTAGAGACAAGGTTTCTATGCCAAAGGAAGGTTGGAGACCCCCAAGGTAGTACCCAGCAGGTAACGGTACCCAGCAGGTAACGGTACCCAGCAGGTAACACGAGGGGCGGCGCTGGGCCAAGAGGGAGAGCAGACACTGGCAGTTTTCCATTCTGGTGGTTCCCACACTCACTCCCCACAGCCAGGCGTGAGGGCCCAGGGCTGCCCCACATCCCCACCAGCACTGAGTACGCTGAGTCCTCTCATTCTGCCTTTAATACACATTGTTAAGGCTTCATGAGATGGAGCACCTTTTCAGGAGTTTATCCTTCACAGAGCATCCTTTGATGTCCTTCTGACATTGGTGAGCTGATCTGATGTGGAATTTTTAGAGCCCACTCACACTTTCGGATTCACATCCTTCATCGAATGAACACACTGGTGTGACCTCTGCCCCTTGTGGCTTGCCCCTCTTCATCATGTCTTCTGATGCTTCTCATTGTGGTCAAGTCCAGGGTGTCACTTTTTAAATAGATTTATTTATTTTTTATTGGGAAGTCAGATAGAGAGAAGGAGAGACAGAGAGGAAAGTTCTTCTGTAAACCGATTCACTCCCCAAGTGATTGCAATGCCCAGAGTTGAACTAATTTGAAGCCAGGAGCCAACTTCGGGTGTCACGTGGGTGCAGATTCCCATGGCTCTGGGCCATCTTTGATTGCCTTCCCATGCCACAAGCAGGGAGCTGGATGAGAAGCAGGGCTGCCAGGACACGAACTGGTGCCCTTAAGGAATCCCGGCAAGTGCAAGGCAAGGACTTTAGCCACTAGGTTACCGCGCTGGGCCCCTGTGTGTCATCTTTGCATGGCTGGTGCTTCAGTGGCCTTCTCCTGAGTCTTCTGGTAGCCTTGCCCAGGCACATTGTACACACACATTCACCCGAGTGACCTCAGTGTGGACGCTTCGGCACTGCACCACTTCGGTTGGAAAGTCAGCCCCTTCTCCGCTGTCGTACAATGTCAGCTTTGCCTACAGCAGCCAGGGGCGGGTGGTGCTGCTTGGTCCACAGTGAACCTGCGTATCCTTACACACCCATATCATGCCTCCAACCTTGCTCTTTTTCATACGCATGTTAGAACAGCTTGTCCAAGCTTCACATTCACCCCGATTCCCCACCGCCCCCCCTGCCAAATGCAAGTAAACAGCAAAACCCTACAGCATCCATTCATTCTATCAATCAATTTGGAGGAAGTTAGTATCTTCCATTCTAACCCATGAGCACTGTCTGTCCTTCCAACAACACCCTTAACAATTTCTCCCAAGGATATTTTGCATCTTTCAGCATATAAATCGTATACATCATTTGCTCAATTTGACTTTTATACTAGTATAAATTTCATGTCCTAATTACTTCTGGCACATAGATACACAAAACCAGCTTCTGCATATTGAACCTTTATCCTGTGCTCAGTGAACTCGACTTCATCTGTACCTGTATACCCCGCGTGAATGACAGTTGCACATCTTCCAACCTTTTCACTTCTTTTTCTTGCCTTCTTACACTGGCAGGGCCTCCAGTACAGTGTGGTACAGAACCGGTGAGGGGCCAACCTGCTTTGTTGTTTCCGATCTCGGTGGAAATGCATACAGTATTTCGCCTTGTGGTCCGATGTTAGGACTAAGGGTTTATATTTTAGTTGTTTCTTTGCTCACTGGGGTTTCACTTCTAGGCAGCTCCCTCCAGCAGCTCTCTCGCTTCTGATGGGAGAGTACTTGCTTGCTTAAATGAGGGATGGGTTTCTCCTGTCTGTTGAAGAAGGGACCTACTTTTCCTCATTCCACTTGGGGGCAGGGGGCATCTATTGATTGGCTTGGGAATGGGAAATTAATCTTGTCAACCTTTGCTTCCCATTGGAGTTTGCTGGTTCTAGTTGGATTCCATTAAGACAGCGTCCTGGGCCACCAGCCTGGATACGCGCAGGCGGGACACAGTCCTTCCATCACACGCAGATTCCGTGGTCCGCGGCTTGTGCCTGAAATCCACGGGCTTCTGATCTGGAAGGCTTACGGCCAGCCCTTGCCCTCGGCCATCGACCCTGGAGCCCACAGCGACGATCCGGACCCTTGGGTCCCCTGCCGCCTTGTGCCCCTTCCGCCCTCCTAGAGGCCCCTTTAAGAGTGTCCGCGGTCGAACGCGTCTCTGGGACCGGCTGCAGAAGACGCCAAGAATGCGGGATTCTTACCTCGGAGGGATTCTGTCTGGCCAAGTCCCCCTGCATGTCCACCCAGCCTCCCCCCAGCTGCCGTTCTCACCCTGGGGAGTCCACCCTCAACTTCGAAGTTCCCTCCTGCCAGCTAAACCTCCTGAGATGTCCCCTGGCCCCAACCCATCGCTCCCGCCCCGCAATCCTTCGTCCTCCCTGCGACTGTCGGACCCCTGGCCAGGCCTCAGCGGACCCAGAGAGGCCGCGACTGGGGGATGGCCAGGGCGCCCGGCGCAGCCTCATCCATATGCAGTGGACGGCGCGGCGTGGCGGCCGCCAGGAACAGACAAAGGCTGTTCCGCCGCCGGCCCTGCACCGTGCCAGCTTCATTTCGCCCGCCGCCCCGGTGGCCTCGACGCAGCCGCTTGGTGTCTGTTCCACCAGGCTGAGCCCTCTGCACGATTTTCCGGGAGGAGCTGTGCTCCCCGGATCCTGCGCGCCTCCCACCTCCCTCTTATCTCAGACCCCCTCTACCAGCTTCCCGCGCGCTTGCAGGTGGCGGCCAGGCGGCCAGGGAAGCCCGGGAGCCCGAGACCCTAAGTTCTAACGCGCAGAGCCTCCCTGACTCCGGCCTAAAGCCTGCAGGGTACAGACGGAACCTGCAGCTGGATGCAGTCCAGCAAGGGCTCCCTGGTTAAGAGTTGGAGGCTCGGGGCCCTCTCCCCCGCCACGTGTCTCCAAGCCTTCGGTCACGGGTGCATAGTGGGGACTGTGGGCTCGGGATGCAGTCCGTAGCCTTCCTTGTAGCTGCGCCTAGCCAATAGGTGAGGGAAAGCACCTGTATCTGGAACCCTTGCTTATCTGCGGGCCTCGGCCAACACTTGCATACCTCCCTTCACCCCCCACCGCGTGCACGTTGGGATCCCAGCAGGTATTTACACAGTACTGAGGAGCCGCACGCAGTGGATATCCCGCACGTGGTTGCCTGTTGACACCCCCCTCCCCGAGGGACAGGACAGCCCCAGCCTTGAGCCCTACTCCCCGACCCCATGCCACCCTCAGGAGCCCGGGAAACTTCTACATCAGGGGCTCCTCTTTGCTCCCAACCAGAAAGTTCATCCTCCCGCTACCCCGGGATCTGTGCTTCCCTTCCAGGCCCGGACTGGGGCGAGGGGGGAGGGGACGTTCCCTTTAAGGGCCGTGGGGGAGGGGGCTGCGGGCCGGCCCTCCTTCCGCCCCTCGCCCGCCCCGCCGCTCGGGGGCCGGGGACCCGGGCCCGGGGCCAGCGCATGCGCCCGCCTGTGGGCGCTGTCCGGTCTGCGAGGGCTGCGAGCGCACCGTCCTTCGGACAGGACCGACCGACGGACACACGGGGCAGCGCAGGCAGCAGGGACTCGGCGGGACAGCGACATGGCCGGTTACATCCAGCAGCCCAGCGGGCGCGGGAGCCCCGGCCCCGCGCCCTCGCCTTCCCCCGGCCCGGGCCCCGGACCCGGCGCCTCGGAGCGGGTGGCGCTTAAGAAGGAGATTGGGCTACTGAGCGCCTGCACCATCATCATTGGTAAGTCCCGCTCCGGACAGGATCAGCCGCCTCGCCATGCGCCCCTGCGGATCTGCTACTGTGGGATCTGGCCGGAGTGCGCACGGAAGGACGCGCAGAGCAGGAGCTGGCACCACCCCAGCCTCGCTTTCCATAGGGCTCCTTCCCCAATCCCTATGCCTGTTGACACCTGAGGGCTTTGCAGGTCCCATGCCCACTTCCTGCTACTGCGTCCCCGTATGGCTGTGGCTCAGCGGTGACCCTCCTTCCTCGTCTATGCAATGAGGAAGATGATAACCGTGGACCTGCCTGGCGCTCTAGACTCACTGGTGGGTTGGAGAGTGCGAGGGGGTAAAGTGGGGCGGGGGTGGGGGTGGGGGCGAGGGCAGGCTAAACGTGCGCAGGCGCCACACAGGGCAGTAACTAAACAGGAACTCTCACAGATAAGTGGCCAGGTAGAGCCTGTGGAGAGATAGATTCAAGGGCATGCTGCATTGCAGCTTGGGCAATGGCAGGGACAGGGGCCTGCTGACCAGGCCTGCAGGAAGGCCCTTGGCTCCCTGGTCTGCCCTTCCCATGGTCCCGGCTTCTAGCTCTGCTTCCCCATCTGGAAATGGGTCCATGCATCCTGCCCCACACAGGGACAATGAGGGTTAAGATGGGTTTTTTTTTTTCCCTCCCACTGTCCAATGCTGAATCCTGGCTCCTGGGGCATAGGTTAACTCAGACTCGGCGCCTCTTCCTGGGAGGGACCCATCCTGTCCCAGAAGATGCTGGCTGGGGTGAGAAACGACTGTTCTCTCTCAACACCTGCCAGTCTTTCCATGGCCCAGCCAGGGGGAGCGGCTTGTGCATGCTGCGCTGCCCTCCCAGCCCTAGAGATGAAGGAAGTTTAGAGGCTCAATGGGGCAGACTCAGGATGGTCCCCCTGCCGCTCACTGCTTCTGCATCCCCACGTTAGGAACTCCTGAGCCCAAGCTGCCCCCTTTGCTTTTGTCCATGGCTCATACTCACATCCACAGTTGTCCTTGAGCTTGGCCCCTGGGCAGGTGGCTCCACTACCCCAGACTACTGTCTCCTAGGAGCTAGTCCCAACTGTGCCTGGGTGCTTCCTGGCCCCGGGTGCCCCCTGCATGAATGTCTGCTGGAAGGAAGAGCTGGCCCTGGGGCTTTGGCCAAGGACAGCAACAGTGCCCAGGCCCCCGGGAGGGGGGTGGCACGATATCAGGCAGGTGCAAGGAGAGTCACCACCACCCCCAGATTACTGCAGCTAAACCAAGGTCCTCCGTGGTGTTCGTCCTCAAGCGCCCTCCCCATACTCAGGTGGAGGCTGCCAGGCCCCTGGCCCCTCAGCAGAGGGCCCTGGACGTGGTGGTGGGGCTTGCTCCAGCACAGGCCCTGGAAATCTCCCCTGCGATCTGGCTCTGATGACACCCACACCCTTCAATCCCTCCTCGCTGTAATCTGTCCACAGCCCTTTTCCATAGCCCTACTTGTAGATGTCCATGCCATGCTCTGGATACTGCTGGGTATGAGGGAAGCTCTAACCACAGGGATGAGGACACTCACCTACCAATGGTGCCAGGCCCTGCCCAGGGTGCTAGACACACAAAGGGGGGGCAAGGCAGATGGCATCGCTCCCCTCCCACACCTATAGACTGAGCGGAAGTGAAGGGCAACTTGGCCAACCCTGGGGCGGAAGATTCAGGAACCAACTCAGTGACCTGCCCCTTGAGGCCTCTGGTGGTCCTGGGGTGGAGAGTGTTGAAGCATGACAGCATGCAGAAGGAGACACAAGGCAGAAGCCACCTAGGCTGGCTCAGGTGACCTGAGACTAGGGCTGTGATGTGCACTGGGCTGACCCCCTGTCCTGGTGGGGTGGGGAGAACCTGGCCAATGTCAAAAATATGTATAAGAATCTCTTGTTTCAACTAGAAAATCCTTGAGAACTTCCCATCCGGCTCCGTAGATTTACCCTTATTAATTACTAGTTGCTGAACTAGTTAGTTAACTAAAACTTGTGACTTGGTTTCCCTACAACTTGCAGAGAGATGCTGTCCTCATCTCCCCTTGGTATTCTTTGCCCTGTGCTGGGAAGTGGGGTGATTGGAGAGGACTGGCTACAGGCCCAGGTGAAACTCATGTCAAATGAATGCATTTAGAACAGCAGCCCCTGACCATGACAGGTGCATCTGGAAAGGAACAGGGCGGACTGCAGGAGGTAGGGTCAGCCCGAGCAGGAGCTGGGCTGTACGTGATCACATCACACGTCTGCTTAGCAAAGCTCCTGTTATGACAGTTTGCACCCGTGGCCTTTCATCTTGTACGAGCCTCGTGCACACGTGCAAGACGGGGCTTTCCATTCCCGTCTTACAGAGGCTGCGTATTCAGTGGCACCACCGCACATGGTGAGCTCAGGAGTGGGAACCAGATGTGGACACCACTCCCAGTCCAGTGCCCTCTTGATGCCCTGGAGCTGGGAAGAACCCTTGGTGGAAGGAGATCAGGGCTTGAGATGGGGGTCATCTCACCAGGGCCACCTGAACTTGTACCCCACTACGGATGGCCAAATCAGCAGACAGACATGGCAGGCCCATGTCCTGACCCGGGGACCTCAGCCCACCGAGGAGCCTGTGTCCAGCACAGTGGAGGCTGCTCCTGGAGCTGTTAATCAGGCTCTTCCCCCACTTAACTCCTGGTGACAGGTGTCAGCTCAGGCAGGTGTTTGGGGCTGGGGTCAAGTCTGTTTGGGACTCAGGGGTCTGCTTCATGACGCTTTTCTCCTTAGGAGCCAGTCCCCACCCCACCAGCCTTGTCCAGGTCCTATGGCCTCCAGGGCTGCAAGTGGCTGGACTGTTCAGAGAATGAAACTTCTCCCACCCCCGAGGAACCCGCCATGCCTCATAACCCCCACCCCACAGCTCCACTTATAGGAGTCCATGGACACTGTTGGGGTTCTAGTCACAGGGATGAGGGCACTCATCCACCCACAGTGCCAGGCCCTGCTCTAGGTGCTGGACACAATGGGGACAAGGCCAACGGGATCACTGTCCTCCTGCACCTGCTAGGCCAGTGCAGGAGTCACACAGTCCCAGCACAGCCAGCAGGCAGTGGTCAGTGCCAAAACCAGATGGTTGTACCAGGAATGAGGATGATGGGCTGGAACACTTTAGATAGGAGAGGACTTGGAAGGAGGAGTGGGGTTCCCTAGGGTGGGTGGGACTTAGACTTTTTCTCTCTGTGAGGTGGGGTCCAGTAGGATTTTGGCGTAGGAGGGTGAAGCTGATGGGGAAGAGGGTTTTGGAGCAGAGTGAGAGTGCGAAGGCCCATCTGGGGTCTGCTCAAGTGTCCCAGACCAGGGACACTCGGGGTGGGAGGTGGGGGTGGCGGCAGAGGTTGGGAGGAAGATAGCTCTGGAAGCAGAGCTGGGCTGTTGACCATGACCAGGATGTGGGTATGGAAGAAATGGCTAGGGCAGAATGAGTTTGAGAGAGAGGGGTTTGCCAATGACTGATGGAGGATAATGGGGGCAGCAGCAGATTCGGGGGAGGAGAGTCAGGCATTCCACCTGCACGCAATGAGTTATTGGAGCAACCAGTTGTTGGGTGAGTAGCTGGGCATGTACAGGTTTGGTTCACTGCAACTGCCCATGGTCAGGACAGGAGGAGGTTGGGAGCTACCAACAGAAGTCAGGGAGAACAAGTGTCCAAAGATGGGGTAGGGTGTGAGATGCCAAGACTGGGCACTGCAAGCACTCAATGCTCGTAAGGGGCCAACAAAGAAACCCACAGAGGGGCTGTCAAGGGGTGGGAGGAAGAGGAGGCTGAATGGCAAGGCTTCTGCCCAGAGGACCCACCCATGCTGGGGGGCAGGCAGGACTCAGGGCTCGGCAGGGCTCTGGCTGCTGACCCCAGGGAATTGGGGTCCCATGGTGCCCATGTCTCCAGAAGAAAGATAGGTGTCCTTGAGCAGGGGAATCCATGGTGAATGGTCATGGTAAGATCCATCTGCACTCCTATGGCCTCTGATGTGCCAGCGGGGGGACAAGGAAGTCAAATATAGGAGGCTCTTGCCAGTTGTCCACCAAGTAGTGCTGTGGGAGCAGAGCAGGGGAGAGCATGCTGGCTTTGGAAAGCCAGGGAAGCAGGGGACACACCAGCCGCGGGGTGTGGGGGATGCCGCAGTCCATGCTGCAGATCTGTGGGTTGCGGTTTCCACATCCAAGTCAGGATTGAACCGAACCCTCTGCTGCCTGCTCACCCGTCTGCTAGCAGATGGGGAAGCCACCCTGAGGTGATACCCCCAGCCCTTGAGTGTATTTCTGGGTGAGGGCAATGTTAGCAGCCTGACCTGGCCTAATGCGAGCCCCCTCCCCAGAGTGGGCTGTGCAATCCCACCCTCCCCCTATGCACACCACAGGCAGGCGGCTCCTTCTGCCAACTCGACCTCCGTGGTCCACCCTGCGACCTCTGCCTGTCAGAAATAGGTCAGCACGCACGGCAGCGACCCGCAAGGAACAATGGCCCTTTCTTGCCTCCTCTGAGGAGCTGGGTAAGCCCCATCAGGCCAAACATCTTAATGTGATCAAAAAGCACCCAGTAAAGGCTCAGGCAAGTGGGGTAGAGGAGGAGAAGAAGCTGGGGGGGAGGCCAGCCTGGTACAGGGCCTGTGGGGAGGAGATGGGAAGAGGACTCACTCCTCACCTACCTGCCAAGGACCTGCCTGACACCTGCAGGGACCACAAAGCAGCTGTCCCCAGGGGTAGAATGGAATGCGGGAGCTTCAAGATGTGTACTCAGGACCAGGGTGTTGGTTCAAATCGCAGCTGGGTGCTCCACAGTCCCTCCTGAGCCCTTCAAGCCTTGGAGACACTCATCATTGTCCTCAGCCCTCTCCCTCCCCCAGGCCCACTGACAGCAGCTTGTGCATCCCCAAGCACAAACCTGGAGCAGATGCTGGCGGTGGGGATGAAAGTGGCATCCAGGCTCAGAGGAAGGACCTCAGAGACAGGCAGGCACAGTGAGCACATCATGCCTGGAGCCACGTGAAGAGACGTCTTGAACCCAAGCAGCATGTGGCCCCAGCAGCAGCATCACCCTCACCCCCTAGAGCCCAGCACACAGGCCTTTGACAGGCACCAGGAGCACATCCCTTCCGGATCCCAGCCTCTGAAGGGGTAACGGCTGTGGCTCCTCAGGGGCTGGCTGTGCCGTGCAGCTCCTCTAGTCTACACTGCGACGGGGTCTCTGCAGGTGGCCCAGGGCACTGGGTGCACTCAGCTCCAATATACCCGGTCCTTCCAAGGCCTACCAGGCCCCTGCTGGCTTCCAACCTCACTGGCTTGTGGCCAATCCCTCTCCGCCAGGTCCTGAGAACAGGGGCACTGCTGCTGGATGGCACAGCTCCAAGGTCCTTTTGGAAGTCCCCCACCTCCAAGAGGGCTCCTGGCTGTCACTCAGATAGGTACAGGAATGCCCTCCACCAGCCCCACCCCAGAGATGGGCAGGGGACATGGCTGGCTTCTGCAGCTTGGATCCCAAGAATTGTATCATCCTTATCTGGAGGTATTTAGGGCTCCTGGGATGTGACCAGAAAAACAAGTGGGGCATCGTAGCTGTCCAGACTGGAAATCTGTGTCGGCCGGGGTAGGGGCGGGGGGAGTACGGTGGACAAGAAGTGAATGCAGATTGGTGGCCATGTCCTCGCCCAGCCCCGCCTGTGGGCCTGGCAGGTGGAGTAGACAGGCTCTGTCCTGAGGAGTGTGTGGCCCCCAGAACCCAGCACCTTATTGTGGGGAGTGGCGAGAGGAGAGGCATTCCCACTAAGGGGCCAAGCCCCAAGTGTCATGGAATTAGCTCATTTGCCTGTGTGGCCTGAAGTGCAGAGCCCCCTGTATGACCCTCACACCGATACGTGTGCCTCAATACTGAGAGCTGCGACACCCAGGATGCAGTTCTTGTATCCCCCACTGATAGAGAGCTCAGAGTCCCCCACAGCCTGCAGCTCATCTCGGGACATGCTCCCTGTTGTCCCAGAAAATAGCTGGGAGGGTGCGGGGCTCTGCTGCCTTGCATCCCCAACAAGGAGGTCACATCGTCCCTCCCTGTGCTGCACCCCCCAGGAGTACCATCTGCACAAGCAGAGGTGCCCTCTCTGTGAGGACACAGAAAGACACAAAAGCATACATCGGGGGCAGCTGAGAGTACGTGAGAGTTTCTCCCTGCTCTGGCCAAGCCCTTGCGACAAGCTCATGAGGCAGACCGGATGAGCTGAGCAGGAAGCCCCAGCTAGGGTGCCCCCAGGGCCTCTGCCCACCTGCCTCTGCCTGTCCCAGGACTGGAAGCTTTGCTTTCCTTTAAAATGTATTTATTTGGAAGACAATGTGAGATAGTGAGAGACAGAGATCCACGGGTCCACTCCCTTAGCTAGACCAGACTGAAGCCAGAAGCCCAGGAACTCCATCCAAGTGGTGACAAGAGCCCAAGTTCTTCGGGCTGTCTTCTGCTACCTCCCAGGAGCATTTACAGGAAGCCAAATCAGAAGTGGAGCAGCCAGGACTGCAACCAGTGCTTTGATATGAAATGGAGGTGCTCAACCTGCTGGGCCAGAACACCTGCTCCTGAGACATTTTAGTGGGACTGGGAAACAGGCATCTTGTCTGTCCACAGCTTGGGTTTTAGATTATGAGCTGGAGACTTCTCTGAGCCACTCAAATAGCTTGCACTCAGGCCAAGGGGACAGTGATGAAGACCTGACTTAAGGAGGTCCACTCGAGCCAGCAGGCTGGAGATGGGGCGGGGTCTTGAGCAGGGGCCAGGTGGAGCCATGTGGGGTCTGCCCAGGTGGCTGAGCCACCTACTGGACTGGCGCTGCCTCTCTGGGCCAAAAGGAGACAGTTTCCATCTGTGGCACAGGAGCCTGACTAAGCAAGATGCCAGCCTCATGCCTGGAGCTGGGGAAAGGGCATGTGCCAGTGGGGTCTGAGGGGCCCAATTGTCTCCATGCCCACCTCTTCCAGGAAGCCCCCCCAAAAGGCTGTGCTGTGTGTGGTTCCCAGCCCAACACGCGTGTCTCCCTCCTCTCCCTCCAGGCAACATCATCGGCTCGGGCATCTTCATCTCACCCAAGGGTGTCCTGGAGCACTCGGGCTCTGTGGGCCTGGCCCTCTTTGTCTGGGTCCTGGGCGGAGGCGTGACTGCTCTTGGCTCTCTGTGCTATGCCGAGCTGGGAGTGGCCATCCCCAAGTCTGGCGGGGACTATGCTTATGTCACGGAGATCTTCGGGGGCCTGGCTGGGTGAGTATGGATCTCCCAGAGTGGAGGAACAGGAGATACCGCTCTAAGATAGACTTGGTCCTTAAGGTCCCAAGCTTTAGTTTCCCATCCTTTGAAGTCAATGACAGAGGTGGACACAGAGAAGGGAGTGGGTATTGTCATTTTTCAAGACCAGTGTGAATGACACCAGAGTTCCTTGTGCCCACCAGTGTGTCAGCTGCTGGATGCTCTGGCTGGTCCGTGACTCATTGTGCCTCCCTTTAAGATGAGCTCTGTCTACACCTGCTTCCCACCCCATGCCGACGTACTGTTGCCGGCTAGGGCTAATATCCAGACTAGGAGGGGGCTTGATTGTTCTTATCTCCATAAAGAGCCCATTCAGTGAGCTTTGCAGGGCATCTCCTGCAAGTTCAGAGTTTAGAATCTGTCCCCGGCCTCTTGCTGCTCCCTGAGCCATGAGGGAATAGCCCGTCCCGTGGGATCAGACTTGGGGGACCCTCACAGTGAGAGTGGCGTGTAAGAGGCAGTGGTGGTGCCCATCACCTAGGGAAAGGTCCCCCAGAAACCCTGTGTTCCCCACCCCCACCCCCATCCCGTTGGCTGATGAAGGGAGGCATCCAAGGCTGGGGGTGAGGGCACGTGCAGAGGGCAGAATGGTCAAGTGTATTCTGGGTCCAGAAATAAGCTCCGGTTCATGTCTGGGAGGGTTTATGCCTCAGGAGGACGGCAGCTGTTGTAGCCGTCCTGTCCTGCAAGTGCCTCAGAGGTGCAGGCAGATCCATGGTTCCAGAGGATGTGATAGCCAGTGTGACACGAGAGGGGCTTCTTTGGAGGTGGTCGCTGGGCACAGAGCAGGGAACTGCCCAGTTGGGTCTTGGATGGAAGGTCTGCAACCCAGAGGAAACGCTGAGTTTTCAGGGACATAGGCCAGGAGTCTCGGAAAGGCATGCCTACTATGAGTTTGTCCATGGTGTGTGTCCTCCTCCAAGGAGAAAAGTTCTATCCAAGGGGCAGAGGAACTGTGCTGTGGACCAAGAGAGAACACACCGGGAAGAAAGTGGGTGGGAGAGGAGGGTCTAGGATCCTACCCTCCAGGCACCCACACCTGGCACAGAGGGCTGGACAGGGGGCCAGCGAAGTAGAGAGTCCCAGCAGGCAGTGGGGAGGGCATCCAAAGAAGGGGCAGGCTGTGGACAAAGGTGAGGACCAGTGATTGGCTGCTGTCCTTGATGAGGCAGCCCGTGCAGCCCCGCCCATAGGCAGCCCTTCCCCACAGTGCCATCAGAGCTCCTGGGAACTCCCAGCCAGAAACACAGAAGGGGCAGAAGTCACTCCCCATCTCAGCCCACGCCCTTCCCTGCAGGCCAGAGGACCACTGCTCAGAGTCTACCTCAAGCTCTTTGGCTAAGAGCCATGACTGAGCTGGGCAGTGGGGTCCAGCCCACCCTGGGCTGAGGTGCAAGGTCTTGGGTTTCCACATCTTTCCCAGCATCTGGCCAAGGTCAGCCTAGACCTTTCTGGGCCAGTGCCGGACTCTGGCGGGCTTGCCAGCAGCACCTGGGTGCTGGATTGAGGATGCCTCCTGCTACTCAGGCGCTTGCTCGTTCTAGCTTCCTATTGCTCTGGAGTGCCGTGCTCATCATGTACCCCACCAGCCTGGCGGTCATCTCCATGACCTTCTCGAACTATGTGCTCCAGCCCGTGTTCCCCAACTGCATTCCTCCCGCTGCTGCCTCCCGCGTGCTCTCCATGGCCTGCCTGAGTGAGCACCCCCGGCTCCACGTGGGTGGAGGGTGGAGAGGGAGAGAGGATGGCAGCCCCCAGCAGTTGGCTCCAAGCCATGCTAGTGGCCTCAGGGGCTGGGGGCTCTTGCACTGGGGCAGACTTGGCCGTGACCTTGCCCCGCCCCCAAGAGGGCTTCCGCCTCAGGTACTGCCCACCCTGCCTTTCCTCACCAGTGCTCCTGACGTGGGTCAACAGTTCCAGTGTGCGCTGGGCCACACGCATCCAGGACGTGTTCACAGGAGGGAAGCTGCTGGCCCTGTCCCTCATCATCGGCGTGGGCTTCATCCAGATCTCCCAAGGCAGGGCCAGAGGGGATGTGAGCAGGGTTGGCGGGAGACAGGGAGCACCGTGCTGACCCCAGGCTTCTGAACTTTTCATCCTCCACCCCCCACCAGGACACTTTGAGGAGCTGACGCCCAGCAACGCCTTTGCTTTCTGGATGACGCCCTCCGTGGGCCACCTGGCCCTGGCCTTCCTCCAGGGCTCCTTCGCCTTCAGTGGCTGGAACTTCCTCAACTATGTCACAGAGGAGCTGGTGGACCCTCGGAAGTGCGTGGGGCAGCCAGGCTGGGCGCAGGGCAGGAGAGGTGGCCTGTCCACACATCCGTCCATCTGTGCGTGTGGTTGTGCATACCTATGCACACCGCTAGGGCACGCCTGTGTTGTCCTAGCCAGACCCATGCTGCAGGAACAGTGGCCACATCGTGGCACCCTCACTGGACTTGTGGCAGCCCTGTTGTCATCCTGCTGAACACAGGGCCAGAGCTGCTATGGGGCCCAAGTCGTACATGTGTGCAATGAAGCCAGTGTGTCTGCCTGGACAGGGGGAGGTTTGGCCAAGCGAGTGGGAATTACTGGGGAAGTTTCAGGGAGAGACGGGAAACCTGCAGATGGGCTCCTGGCAGGGAGGGGACACATGTCACTTCAGACATATGCAGCTCTTTCCATGCTGGGCACCACCTCAGGATCACACTTCCTGCAGCCCAGGACCCAGGCAGAGGCTGGGGAGGGTGGCAATGCTGTCCCTGTGTGCTGCCCCCCTTCCAGCCCCAGTGCTCCCAGACTCAAAGCTGCCTTTGCCGCATCCCTCCCAGGAACCTACCTCGTGCCATCTTCATCTCCATCCCACTGGTGACCTTCGTCTACACATTTACCAACGTGGCCTACTTCACCGCCATGTCCCCCCAGGAGCTGCTGGCCTCCAACGCGGTGGCCGTGGTGAGTGGAAGGGATGGGGGGAGGGGAAGGCCTGCTCTAGCCTGGCCCCTGGCCCACCTGGAGACTCCCCCAGCCTTACACCAGACTTCTCTTCCACGCCTACACAGACCTTTGGAGAGAAGCTGCTTGGCTACTTTTCATGGGTCATGCCTGTCTCCGTGGCTCTTTCCACTTTTGGAGGAATCAATGGCTACCTGTTCACTTCTTCCAGGTGACCGGGCTGGGGTGTGGGTGGCCAGGGTGAAGGAGCCATGCCAGGGACCCCAATGCTGCTAATGAATACCTGGCCCTAGTACAAAGAACAAAGCAACAGGGACATGGGCTAGACGATGGGAGGGACTGCCCAATGCAGCAACTGGGACTGGAAACAGCTCCAAGGGGACAACTTAAGGGACATCAGGTCCAAAGCTGAGGCCCAGGATTTTGGTGGGACGCGCCAAGACTGGACTCACAGCCACTGCCCACCTGTGCCCCCAAACCCCAGGCTGTGTTTCTCCGGAGCCCGGGAAGGGCACCTGCCCAGCCTGCTGGCCATGATCCACGTCAGAAACTGTACTCCCATCCCCGCCCTCCTGGTCTGTGTAAGTTGATGGGGCAGGAGCCAGGGACCCCCAGTCACGTGGGACTCCCGGGGCGGGGAGAGGGGCCAGTGCCCATGTCGCCCCTTGCTTGGAGCTCTCAGCACTGACCCCTCCCTCTCAGTGCGGGGCCACAGCAGTCATCATGCTTGTGGGAGACACGTACACACTCATCAACTACGTGTCCTTCATCAACTACCTCTGCTACGGTGTCACCATCCTGGGGCTGCTGGTGCTGCGCTGGAGGCGGCCGGCCCTCCACAGGCCCATCAAGGTGAGGGCACAGGGGACAGGTGATGGCGGCCGCAGTGGCTCTGGCTAAGCACTGGGCCCTGCATGGGGCTCTTTGTGCCGTACCCAGGTATATCCACCTGGGGTCCGAGAGCCTCCCCAAGGCCATCTGTAGGTGGAGCTGTGGGTAGCACTCATGGTTTCCTCTTGCTGCCAAGTGCTAGTCACAGCTGTGGTCATCTGGCCAACTGGTCAACCTGTACATCGGCTTCCAGCACTGAGAAGGCAGGGAACTGGTCCTGCCCCATCCCTGTTCCTGTTTGCTCCCCGCCAGGTGAACCTGCTGGTCCCTGTGGCCTACTTGGTCTTCTGGGCATTCCTGCTGGTTTTCAGCTTCATCTCGGAACCCATGGTGTGTGGGGTTGGCGTCATCATCATCCTCACGGGGGTGCCCATTTTCTTCCTGGGGGTGCTCTGGAGAAGCAAACCAAAGTGTGTACACAGACTCACCGGTAAGCCAGGTGGCCTGGGGACCAGGGAGGGGGCACAATAGCCACTGAGGGGTAACATGGGGCCCAGGTCTCCCCCAGGAAGTGGTACAAAGTGTCTAAAAGCCACTTGCTCCCTGGAGACCCCAGCTTAGTGAAGGAGTCTGTAGGTGGCAGTGGGGGGTGGGAAGGTTCACCCCCATCCTGCAGGATAAGAGCCTAAGGCCCAGCCACCTGTCTGTATGTCCCTCTGTCCTCAGAGTCCATGACACGCTGGGGCCAGGAGCTGTGTTTCGTGGTTTACCCCCAGGATTCCCCTGAGGAGGAGAATGGGCCCTGGCCAGCCTGCCCCTCGCCCGCCACGGACAAGTCCTTCAAGACACAATAAGACAAGGTGTAGGGACTGAAGCAGCCCTTCTGTTTACATGTTGTTTATTGAGGAGGTTTTTTTTGTTTTTTTTTTTTTTTGCAAAAACTTTTTTTTTTTTCTGGAAAAAACAAACAACCGATCCGACTCTTAGAGGCCTGTGGCAAGGAGGTCCTGGCACTGCAGGGCAGGGCCTCCTGCTTAGTACTGCCCTGCTAGCTTCTCCTGCAAGGACCGGTCAATAAACAGGACTGGCGGTTTGCTTGTGCTTGGCAGAGTCCCTAAAGGCGTGCCACCTGCCCCTTCCCCAGGGACTCCCGGCTGGGCTCCTCTTCCTCCCCATCTACCCCTACCCACCTCCAAGTGACTGTTGGGGGAACTTCAGAGCCCACTGCCTTCCTGGGAAAGGATGGGCGCTGCCATGGCCTCTGTCTCCTGAGAAGGCATACAGCTGGACATCCAGCCTGCAGGCGGCTCCTGAGCTTCCTACCCATGCGCCCAGCCGACACCAAGGGGCATGAGGACAGGGACAAAGCCTCCTACTCTAGCTCCTCCGGGGTCCCCTGTTGCCCAGGCTCGGGTGGAAAGGGGACTTCCGTGCAGAGCACGCCCCATGGACAAGGTCCAGTGACCCCATGGCTACATCCAGTGCTCACTCTGGCTCCCGGCCCAGTCCAGGGATGGGGATGGGGGCAGCTGGTGCCACCGCAGAGACAATGAAGTGAGAAGCCACCACAACAGAGTCTGCAGGGAGTGGGCCCTGCCCCGCCTGTCTGGATGTGGGTTTGCAGAATGGAGCTTGCAGAAGGTGGACTTGGTACACAATACCTCTGGGTGCTCACACCTGCCTCTTTCCCCTGTGCACGGGGCTACACTGTAGCCCCAGCTGCTGTGCCCACCCAGGGACTTGGCAACCTGCTGATGCTGCAGGAGCTGAGGGCCCAGCCCCTCCCTGGGGCTGCTGGGTGGGCCTCTCTGCATGAGAAAGTACGCAGAAGCTGGGTAGAAACAACTGTGTATTTCCTGGTTACAAAGCAGAGCTGTGGCTGTCCCCAGTTTATGCTAAAGGTCAGCACACCAGGAGGGCCTCGTCATCACTGACCTCCAACGTTGGGGAGCAGGGTGCTGGAGGGCTCCTGCAAACCCCCAGCGGCTCCGGCGGCTGGGAGCCCAGGGTGCTGCTGGCAGTGGAAGCTTGTATGTGGGAATCCTGGGCTGAGCAGGGCTCCCGGGGTGTGTCCGCAGGGACCTGGCTGTCCACAGGTGGCTCCCTGCTGGCCTTTCTGTCCTTGTCCACGGGCTGCCTGCCCTCTGGGTCTCGGAGGCCCAAGGATGGGGGTGGCCCTGAAGGTCCCCCCTCTGGTGCATGGCCAGGGGCCCCAGGGGGTGCGTCACCGGCTGCTTGGGGGCTGCCTGTGTCAGTTCTGGGCCCTGAGGTGGCCCCTGGGGCGGGCTGCAGGACCCCATCACCCAGCACTGTCTGCGAGGTGCGGGCAGCGGTCAGCAAGGGGATCTGGCCTCGAGGTGCCCGCGGCCGGTGGAAGAGCCGGTTCCAAAGGCGGCCAAGGCGGCGGTGGGAGGGCCCCCGGCGGGAGGCGTGGCGTCGCATCTGTCGCCGCATGGCCGAGCGAAGATTCTGAAGCACAGAGACCTGCAAAGTGGGACGGTGGCTGAGACGGCTGGGGTCTGCACACCTCCCCTCACCCCTGAGGAAACCGACACGCCACTCCCCCCACCCCTTACCACTGGCCAATAACCTCCCCCATCCAACCCCGGCCTCCCCTCCCCACCTGGACCAGCTCAGCCCGCACCTGTCCCACCTGGCCCCTCGGCCTCCAGGTCTCGGGTGTTCTCTGCAGTCCAGCAGGAAGCCTGGGCCCTGTGGGGTCTCAGGCCCAATGAGGCTCACCTGGGACGCACTGTAGACAGGAAAGTCCTCCACGGGCGGGATGAGGCCCTGGGCGATGAGCTGACCGTAGGACGGGGGCGCCTCCCGCCGCACAAACTCGGCCTCCAGGCGCGTCATCTGGGTCTCAAAGGCCCTGCAAGCAAGCAAGGACCTCATGGTGGAGCTGGCCAGCACCTGCCACAGCAACAGGTCACAGAGACCGCCCCCACCACTCCCACCTCCCCCTGGCTCATGGAGAATTCAAACCCACGTCCCCCACCTGACTCTGTAAAGTCAGGGTTGTACAGAGAGGGTGCCCAGAGCCTCCCTGCCTCTCCTGGAGGGAGAGTCTGAAGAAAGCCAGGCTGGCAGCCCCGGAGTGCCCACCTGTACTCCTGTGTGCGCAGGGAGTAGAGCTTGAAGGCGCAGCCCAGGGCAATGACAAGCAGCAGGCCGCACACCAGGCTGCCGATGAGGGCGGCCGTGATGACCTTGCGGGGCACAGCGGCCAGGCAGCCGTGCTCATCGCTGCCATCCTGGCAATCCTCCTGACCATCGCAACGCCATGTCTCGAAGATGCACAGGTTGGTGGCACAGTGAAAGGTGCCCGGCTGGCAAGAGAAGCAGTTCTTCTCGTCGGCACCATCCGGGCAGCTTTTCTGGTTGTTGCAGCGGTCAGCAGAAGCATAGCACAGCCCACTGCCGCCCTCACAGGGGTACTGGTCAGGAGGGCAGGCGGGGCAGCCCTGCTCATCCCGGCCACTGGCACAGTGCCACCAGCCATCACAGCGTTGGGGCTCCGAGAAGCAGCCCTGGTCGCCAGCGTCACTTCCGTCCCCCTCAGCGCCGCTGGTGGTGCCCCCGCAAGGCTGCTCCCATGGGAGGCAGTAGCCCTTCACCTGGTAGGTGGCGTTGAAGCCGTGGCCGGCGCTGCGGGCACGGGCATGGTAGGCCACGGTGAGACGGCCCTGCGCGGCCTCCAGGCTCACAGGCCGGTGGTTGCTTCGGTAGGACAGCGTCTGCAGCAGGCGGTCCCCGCGCTCGCCCAGGCCCTCGTACACCTGCACGTAGTCATCATACCCGAGACGCAGCTCCAGCTGCAGCAGCACACGCCGCGGGTCCTGCGTGTCCACCAGCCACGTGCAGTGAAGGTCCGAGGGCCCGCGGGCCGCGCCAAACAGGTCTGGGGAGGCGAAGGAACCGTAGAAGCTGCCCAGCCGCCTACCGCACGCCAGGTCGGGGCAGCCAGCCTCGTCGGAGCCGTCGCCGCAGTCCTGGGTGCCATCGCAGCGCCGCTCGGCAGGTAGGCAGCGGGTGGAGCGCGCCCCGCTGCACGGGAAGGTCCCCCCGGGGCACAGGCTGCCCGGTGGCTCCGAAGCAGGCGCTGAGCAGTTGCCCTCATCTGAGCCGTCTCCGCACTCGTCCACCGCGTTGCACTGCCACGGGCCCGGTAGGCACTTGCCGTTGTCACAGCGGAACTCATCTGCCTGGCAGGATGCCTGGCCCAGCTTCCCTGTAGGAGAGATGGGTCGCAGGAGGCAGTCAGGGAACCAGCAGAGCCTGGAGCCTGAGCCAAGAGCAGGTGGCTGGGTGCGGCACCCCTCCCCCTTGTCAACTGGGTCCCTGCTGGGCCTTGAGACGAGGTAGGACCAAGGAGAAGGGACTCTACAAGTGGCAGAGCTTTGAGTACCGGGGTATGGAGGGCCCTGAAGCATCCCAGGGCTGCAGCAAGAGCTGCCGTACCAGCAGACCTACCTCCAGACATCGACCATGGGACAGAGAACCTGCAGGGAGCCCCGGCTCAGGCCAGGGGGCCCCCGCGACCCCCTGCCCAGGAGCCTCCTACTAGGCGAGAGTCTCCAGGCTGCCCTCACCTCGGATGTAGGAGAGACGGAAGCCCTGGGCCTGGCCGGAGCTGGAGGCGTCTGAGTGGAAGAAGATCCAGACGTGGTCGCGGGCAGAGATGAAGGCGGGAGGAATGGCCGAGCCGCAGAGCCGGAAGGCGTCCTGGCGGGGTGGAGCTGCAGGGCCCAGCAGCAGCCAGTCCAGGGAACACTGGTGGGACTCTTCCACGTCAAAGTTACGGAAACTGTGGGGGTGGGCGGGACCTCAGACATGGGTGGGCACGTCTGGCTGAGCGCCAGCAGGGCAGTCGGGGAAGAGCATAAGGCAGGAATGGCCAGCCCCATGCCCACCGTACCAGCTGCAGTTGGTGCCTCTGCGATTCTCCACTGCTGGCCGCTCCTCCCTACTGCTCTTCCCGTCCCCAGCTGCATGGGCCCTGCTTTGCTCCTTTGCCAGCTCCCCCTCCCCGTCTGCCCACCCCCAGCACCCCTAGCTCAGAGCCAGAGTGGAGCTGCCCCCAGTACCCTACGCACACGCTTTTGCCCCACCACCACCACACAGGGTCTGCTGGGGGGAACCCCGGCATACTCTAAAGCAACAAAGAGGATAAGGGAAAAACACTGGCCTGGGCTCAGACCAGGGCAACCCCTGCAGGGGACCCCCACAGCCCAGGTCCGTGGAGCTACCAGGTTACCAGGGTGGAAGGAACCTGGGCTCGGTATTCAGGAGAACGTTGGCAGGTGGGAGCCGATCAGTCATTCTCATGGCCAGTCCGGGGCCAACTCTCTCCTACCCAGTTCCCTCCCTTGCCAAGGCCACCCCAAGAAACCCTTAGGGAAGCCCTGCTCCAGGTACAGCACCACCCGAGCCACCCCTACAGGTCAGAGGGTACCTCTCGGACCTCAGAGACAGACAGGCAGACCATGTCCAGCAGAGTCCAGGGTCCCCTTCCTGACTGTCCCCGAGACCCATGAAAAGGAGCAGGAAGAAGTCAGCTCTGTGTGTCCAAACATGGACAGCTCCTCTGCCACCCCACCCACAAGTCCTTACGCGTGTGCCCTTCACACCTGTCCAGAAATCAGTTTGTGCATACATGTGCTCACAAGGCACTCTTCATGCCTGCCCAGCACACCTGACACATGCTGCCCGCCCAGCACATCCCCACCCCAGGCCCCTCACCTGATGGTGATCATGTCCCCACGGTCGCCCTGGATGTACCAGCTGCAGTTGGTGCCCGCGGGGTAGTTGAGGGGCCAGGCTGGGCTGTAGATGACACCACGCCGCTCCGTGTGCTGCTCCAGCTTCCCGCTGCAGGCGGCTGTCGGGACAAGGGACTGAGAAGTGGCAACCCTGACTTTGCATGGGAGACCAGGAGAAGGGAGGATCCGCACTCCATTCCCCAGGGCTCAAACACAGCCAAGGCTAAGGGCAAGGTAACAACAGAAGGCTTCATGGATGTGACATAATTGAGAGGCTTATGAGGACCCACGTGGACTTGTCCTTCGCCAAGGCAGCAATTCCCACCCCACCCCCCTCACTGCTGTGACAGCTTACTGACCAGCCACCGCCAGAAGGCAGGGCAAGGACAGCGTGGGCCAACAATTGTGACCCTGGGCCCCACACAGGGCCTGCCACACAACAAGTGCCCAGGCCATGTAAAATTGGCAGCTCAGGTGCTTGCTGACCTGCAGCTATGGGCTGCACGACTGGACACCAGAACTCACAGACCCAGCGACCCCTGCCACTGGCTGCCAAGGGCATCAGAGGACGGGAATGGAAATACTACCTCCACCGGCCACCATCAATCCTAATCAATGAGGCCGAGCCAACGGCTCTCCACATGGCCCTGGGGAGCTGCTGGAGCCTAGATCCTCACCCACAAAACCAGAGCCATGTGCTGCGCCCCAGCCCAGGCAGGCAAAGACCACACAGGACGGGCTCCCAGGTGCGGCACCCCTGAGTGAGCACCCATGACCCGCTTCCCCGAGTGGGTGAGGCAATCAGCCAGCCACGTGGCCTTCACAGAGACCCCAGGGGCTGACCTGGGACACCTCAGGAGGCGTGAGCTCAGAAACTGGAGGAGGTGTCTGGAAAGGAAGTTCAAGGAAGAGGAGGCGGGATGCGGCTTCCCCACCTTGCACATCAGGGGCGTGGGAAGTATCAGCCTTGAAGCCTTGGGTTTACACCTACCCCTCATTTACCTGTGCCCCCATCCCAACCAGGACAGAGCCTGGGGCAAACTAGGACCCCTTCCACCCCAACCTCAGCCCCAAAGGCCTTCTCCAAGAGACAGAAAGGGGGGCTTGCCCTGTTGGGACCCTCATCAGTGACCAGAGGTCTCCCTCCCCCAAACCAGCAAAGGCCAGGCTCTCTTGCCAACTGTTCCCTGCTCCCTGGCACCTGCCATAAGACCTGTCCCTCTGCTCAGTCCCCAGAGAGGTGCCTGGACCACCACCAGCTCCACCCCTCAGCAAGGTCCCCTAGCTGGCTCCCTGCCCTGCCCGCATCAGGAGTGCACCAAGGGCACTGGCACTCATTGAACTGCTCGTCTGTAGAGAAGGCCACAAAGCCGTGGGGAGATGCTACAGGCATGGGGCAGGAGGAAGCTCAGCTCTGGGCTCGAAGCTGTTGCTGCCAGCTCTCCTGGAAACAGGAGCTTCACTCCCACCCTCAAAAGTTCAGCCTGCCAGAACCCAAGCCCGGGCTAGGAAACAGTTTCAGGAAACTACAGACATAGAATTCTACCCCAGACTTAACTACCCACTCTGTGTGGCCAGCAGCCATTGCTTGTGTGGGAGGGACAGTCAGCACAGTGGCAACATCAAGGCAGCAGTTCTGGTGCCCAGAGGGTTGGGGATAGGCAGTACCAATGAGACAGGGGCTTCCTAGGCCTGCCCCATGGGAGGGAAGGGTCCTGGCAGGGTGTGCCATGGTGGGCAGGCAGTGAGAAGGAAAGGAAGGACACTGGCAAGGAGGGGGAAGTTGGGTTTTGGGGGTGGTCAGAGAGACCTGATCTTTAGCCTTGGGAAGATGGCCTCGGCCCTTAGGGTCAAGGTGGCCTGGCGCCCTTCTTTCCTGGTCCAAGAGTCACCCAAAACCCCAGCGAGAAGACAGGAGCAAGTGTAATGAGGCTAATGCTACACATCCCAGGTCCAGAGGCGTTCATGTCCCTGGACAACACGCCTGACTTACTCAAGAGACAAAGAACTAGGAGCCCACCAGGCACCCAGGGCCATCGTCAGGGGCATGGAGAACAGGCCAAGGAACCCACCAGACTTCCTGCCCCGCTGGGCCGCTGTGGCCACACAACAAGGCCAGAGGCAGGGGGCTGCAAAGCATGGGCTTCAGCCCAGGTGGGTGCACAGCACAGCTGAATCCCAGGATGGGAGACAGCAGACAGCCCTCAAGAGCATCTGAGCACCCTGAACACCACTCCCTGCCCAAGGATGGCCGCACAAGCTGGCATACAGGGGTGCCATCCACAGATACCCTTATAAATGGCAGCTCCATCTTCCTCCCCACCACGTTCTAACAGTGAGCCTTAAGACATCGTTTTACTCGACCTGGGCACCTACCCACGTACCATGTGGCTGGGTCCTCCCCACAACCCAGCAGGAAGACAGGCCAGGGACCTGCTATATTCAAGAAGGCCTGGAAGCGTGGCCCTTCCCCACTCTCTACCAGACACCTGATTCAGGTGAGGCCAGCAAATCTGCTCCTCCTGGAAGTTGGAATGGGGGGAGGGAAGAGACTGAGCTGTCCATGATGGTTCTGGCATGTCAGGCAGGGCTGTGGCCTCTGGGTGCCAAGCAAGGCAGGTCCCTGAGCCAGCCCCGGGCAGCAGAGAGCATGGTGCTCAGGTACAGAGAAGACCAAGAAGGGACTGAAGGCCGAGTGTGAGACAGATGGAGGGGAAGCAGCTTTGCCAGGTGGCAGCCCTGAGCCAGCTTCAGGGGCATGTTCAGTGAGCAGAGTCCTGAACAGACCTAGGGATCCCAGGGACCTGCCAGGCAGAGCGGACAAGCCATGGTCCCCTGGGGTGAGCACCGCCTAGTCTCCCTGACCACACCCTGAAATACACTTTTACCAAAAGCTTCATGCAAATACTTGGGCTTACATTCTTTGCAGAAGACATAGGTGCACAAGCTGGCTTAGTGAGGCATGACAGGGGTAACTGACCCAGGCTCCCTGCCTCTCCCTTCTCAGAATCTTCCTGGCAGAGCTGAGAGCCTGGCCCTCCATAGCCCCTCAGCAATGGAAGGTGGTGGTAGACTCGGATGTCCCTCCTGCTCCTGACAGACCAGAGCTCAAAGCTGGCCATCGGACAGGCAAACAAGTGCCAACAGGCTGCAGGCAGAGTCCTGTATCATCTAAGACCCAGGACATACTATCAGCCAAAAGACTAACCCCTCTGCTGCAAATCCACTGCTCCTGAACTGCCAAGTCAGATTCTCATGTCAGCCACACTGCCCCTGCTCCAGCTGGAGCCCACCGACAGCCCCTGCGTCCTATTTACTGTGGCCTGTGCCTTTCCCTCACTCCTGCCTTGTCGCACCCAGCAGCTCTCCTGTAGCCCTGAGGGGTGTGGAAGAATGGTGTGCCACCATTCTGCCCACAAGACCATCCTATCTCCTTTCCAGCAGCATTGCCCGCAGTGCCATCACTCAATCGTGCCTCTGCCAATTAAATCCTGGATGTTATTTCCAGACAAGTGGGTATCTCCTGGCTCACAGAGCCTACAGGAGGCACCATGTTGCTGGCCCAGGGCCCGGGCAGTGTACACTGGTACTGGACCACCAAGTGCCAGACTGCCTCTGGCCTCCGCGGGGTCCTGAACACTAAACAGCAGCTGTTGCTCACTGCACAGAAAGAGAGATGGAGGGCCAGAGCAGTGCAAGCGTGCCCAGCTCCAAACACCAGGACATGGGGCCTGGGTCACCTCAGCGTGGGGCCAGGACCCTCAGAGGTCACTAACCCACAAGGGCTTGGAGGACGGAGGAAGGAGAGAAGTGAGTCACTCACCCAAGGCGGGAACTGCGCTGCTGAGTCTCCCGGTGAGAAAGATGTTCACTGCAGGAGATACAGAAGGGTCAGCAGAGGGACCGAGGCCACAGGCCGGCCCCAGGCACTGCCGGGCACAAAGGGGATGACCTCAGAGAGAATCAGAGCCGGGTCCCCCATCTTGGGGAGGGTGGGACAGTAATTCTGGCTGTTTCTCTTGCCTCCCTCTGAGGAACTATGCCAACCCCTGGCTGGCCCACCTAGTGGGAGGAGGAAGGGCTTTCTAGGCACACACAGCAGGGGGGTGACACTCATATTCAGAGGAGGGGCTCCTGACCCCTACCACCCTCTCTGGCACCCCTTCCATGGGGCATGCCCTGTGCTTTCCCCCTATTGCCCTCCTGGGGCTCAGGATGCCCCAATCCTCCCACCCTGTGCCAATCAAGAGTTCCAAAGGGTTGGGGGACATCTCTAAAAGGTTCAACTCCCCTCCCCGGCTCTGCCAGGACCCACACACCCCGGTCTCTTGGGCAGGGGCACATATGTGCCCTGTCTTGCTCCCAGCAACCCAGCAACTCAGCAACCAGAGCATTGGGCTGCCGGCTCAGGTGGGCACTCTGAGGAGTTGAGCTCCCTTAACTTCTGGGGAGAGCCTGGTTTAAAGCCGCCTCAGCAAACCTGTCTGGCCGCAGAGCCTCATCGGTGACATCACTGGTCGTCCCCTCATGACCCCCAGCTCCCATCATGGCCTCCCTCCCCCACCATGGTAAATAAAGGAGCCATGTGGGTTGACGGTTTAACTCCTTCCTTCCCCTTTCCCTCACACGGGGCCTGGAATCTCCTGGCCAAGGCAGAAGCCGCTCCTGCCTCAGTGTGAGTCTGGATAGGTCCCCACCCACCCTCCCCAAGCGACGCCCAGGGCTGAGCAGGGGACCCCTCCACCCCGGCTGAGCAAACACAAAGAGAGAAGGAGTCGCTCTCACAGCCGCCTCCGTCCCCAGCAGCGCGCATCTCGCCCCTGCCTCGAACTCCACCCGGAGGTAGCTCCTTCTCGGGACTGCAGGCCTGGTCCCAGCGCTCGGGGCCGCTCCCTGCCAAGCCCAGGTGCGCCGGACCCCGGGCGCCAGCCAGCACCGGCGCCTGCGTGCAGCTCACCCCGGGTTCCGGCGCGCCATCCCCGGCTGCGCGGCCACAGTCACCCTAGCAGGCCAAAGACCCTCGTGGGCGGCAGTGCCAGGGAGACCGCCCAGTCCGCGGCCCCCGTGCGGGAGCGATCGCGGGGTGGTCTCCGAAAGGCCCTAGCCTCGGGGGGAAGGGGGCGTCTGGCCAGGAGGCGGCGCGGAGAGAAGGGGAGGCCCGGACCCCGCCCGGCCCGCGCGGCCCACTCACCCAGGCAGACCACGGCGAGCTGCGCCCGGGGGCCCGGCGCCCCCTCCGGCCCAGCGACCACCCGCTTCTCCATGCCGGGGCCGCCGGCGTGCGGGCGCCGCCTCCTGCGCCGCTGGCCCGGGCTCGGGCTCCCGTTGGGACCCGCTAGGCGCAGGCAGCCCCGTGTGCAGGCTCTAGCGGCGTCTTTGTGCGGTGGTAGCGGCGGCGGTGGCGATGGTGCAGGCCCGCAGCGCGCGCTGGGCCGCATCGGCCGCGGCGTCACGGGCCCCGCGGGGACTCGGCGGCGGCCACCAGGGAGGACCCCTGCCCGCCGCTGACCCCGAGTCCCGGCCGCCGCGCCGCGGCAGGCCTGCGCCCGGGAACTCCCGGCGCGTCCATGCCCCGCGGCGAGCCGCCAGCCAGGCCCCGGCAACCCGGGGCCGCCCCGCGCTATGCCCGGCCGGGTGCTCGCCGGCGGTGCGTCCGTGGGTTTGTCTGTCCTCCCTCCCCGAGGCCCCGAGCTCGAGCCCGGAGCCTGGAGGCCGTGCCGCGCCGGCCACGTGACGCGCCCGCCGAACCGCAGTGGCGCTGGCAGGGCGGGTGGAGGCTGCTGGGGCGGGCCGGGGGGCGCACGCCCCGCCTCGGGGTGCTGGACAGCTCCGTGTAGGGGGCCCTGCCCGGTTTGGCGCCCAGGATCCCGATCAGTGCTTGCCCAGACTCTCCGGGGGCCCACACACGAGTGGGTCCCCTCCAGAGTCACAACAGTTGCGATGGGGAGGGAGGATGGGAAGAAAGTGGGCTGTCCAGCCCAAGAGTGGTTGCTTAGGGGTCCGGGGCGGGGGAGAGTGCGTGGTGGTGCAAACCGAAGCATCTTCCTTGTAAGGGGCCAGAGGCTCCCTCGGAGGGAGCCCTGGATACAGGTATCAGGGAACCGGGAGGCGGCCTGCTTTCCGCATCTGGAGAACTATCCATAAGGCACTGAGTGCAGAAGACGGAGGAACCGGAAGAGACAGGGAGAAGGCTGAAGAGGCCATTCAGGGTCAAACTGAGTCAACTCTCCTTTGCTGGGGTGAAATTAAGGTCCCCAAGGGTTCCCCGGCCTGGAGGTTTCCAGCAGGTTGAGCTCAGGTTGACCAGACACACACACAGGTGAGGCACACACACACGCACATACCTGCTCACACGTGCACACATACATTCATCCGTGTGCGTGCATACATCATTGAATGCGCACACACAGATTCATGCACAGGCTTGACTTCCACCAGGGAAGGCAGAGAGGAACCGCTAGTCTGCCAGTGAAAGTTGTACACAGAGCAACTCACCTTGTGCACGCCAAGCGCATCTCGATTTTGGGGGGGGGGGAGGGGAGGTCTCCACTTAAGGATGCTGCCTAGTTCAGTGTATGTTTTGCAAGTTACGGAAAACAAACACACAAGGTTTCAGACCAATGCCCGGGGAGTCATGTTAGAGTCCAAGGCCAAGGGCCAATATGAGCCCCTATATGCAGTTCTCAAAATTTCCTGCCTTCGTCTGACCCAAATAGAAAAGCCTAATAAACGCTCAATAATCACAATACGTAACTACAAAGTCCGGTTTCCTCATCCGTTCACACCTCCGTCAGCCCTCCTAAAGTCATACAACAAGACCCGGTTGGATCCTGGGGGGCGGCGGAGGGTGGGGGAGGGAGTCTCAGGTCTGATGGGGAAACAGCTGTCCCCCAGGGGATCAAGTGCGCAGGCGGTGCGCCAACCCCTCCTCGTGTTTAATTCATCAGGAAGTTTGCTTTCTGCACTTCTTCGTATTTTAAAATGTTGCATTAAAATCCTGCTTACATCGAGTAGTGAGTTTCCTGGCGCTCTCTGGAATCTTGCTCCCAACTGGAATGTCTCACCCGCCCACCTTAATCGCTGCCCACGTTGAGCTCTTGGCTGGCACCCCAGTTCCGGCTTGGTTCCGTGGTAGTCTAGTGCCCCCTAGAGCCTGCTGTCCCAGGTGGGCGCAGAGCCGGGCTTCCCGGAGGTGGCATCGGTCCGGTTTCCCCCCAGAGCACCTTCTCCAGGCTCCTGGAGCAGCTCCGGGAAGCCCGGTAGCCTCTGCTATGCCCCTCCACCCTAGCCACCCCTGCAGCTTTTTACAGATGTTTATCTTAGAAAATCTGTACATATTTATTTGGTGCAATAGTTCAGCAATACACACAACAGGGACCAGCCATATTAGGCAACTGCACATTCCTTTTCTCTTCTTTTTTTTTCTCTGTGTTTGGAGCCTACCTGCTCCTTGCTTCCAGCTCATGATGATACATGGTATATGTTACTGTGAAAAGCAAAAATTTGTATATCTGTGTTTAAATACTTATTACCCAAAACTCTTTCTAGCCCCCCCCCCCTTCTTCCTAGCCTCTACCAGGCACTAGGCTTTTCTGTTTTAAGATTTATTTATTTTTATTTTTATTGCAAAGTCAGATATACAGAGAGGAGCAGGGGCAGAGGAGCAAGATCTTCCGTCCGATGATTCACTCCCCAAGTGAGCGCAACGGCTGGAGCTGCGCTGAGCCAAACCCAGGAGCCGGGAGCCTCTCCAGGTCTCCCACGAACTTCTTCCAGGTCTCTTCCCCGTGGGTGCAGGGTCCCAAGGTTTTAGGCCGTCCTCCACTGCTTTCCCAGGCCGCAAGCAGGAAGCTGAGTGGGAAGCACGGCTGCCAGGATTAGAACTGGCATCCATATGGGATCCTGGTGCATGCAAGGTGAGGACTTTATCCACTAGGCTGTCGCACCGGGCCCCTAGTCACTATTCTAAGTTCAGATCAACTGTTTTTTAAAACTTCCACACATGAGAGAGTGTGGGCAGTATTTGTCTTTTCTGTGGTCTCTTTCCTTCAACATCACAAGTTTCAGTTCCATCCATTCTTCTACCCCTGAGTAACATCCCTTGGTGTGTTTTTTCTCCACTGATCATCCAGCAGGCACTTGGCTGACTCCATGTCTTGGCCCCTGCGGCTAGTGCTAAGTGAACAGGGAGTGCAAGTGTGTCTTTCATGTGCTGATTCAATTTCCTCCTGGTGAATTCCCAGAAATGGATCTGCAACTTTTCAGGGATGACCTTACCTTGGCTTGAGTTGTATCCAAGGGGCTTCTAGACAACACAACCCCAAAACCTTCAACTAGGGAAAAATTTATTAGTAGGAAGTAGATGGCGTGAGTCATACACCCAAGACTTCAGGCTGTCAGGCAGGCGAGGAAACTGCAGGGGTAGGGGAGCCCAGAGGTGGGGGAGCTCAGAGGTGGGGGAGCTGCAAGGGTGGGGGAGCTGTAGTGGTGGGGCAGCTGCAGGGGTGGGGGAGCTCACAGGTGGGGGAGCTGCAGGGGTAGGGGAGCCCAGAGGTGGCAGAGCTGCAGGGGTGGAGGAGCTGCAGGGATGGGGGAGCCCAGAGGTGGGGGAGCTCCAGAGGTGGGGGAGCTGCAGGGGTGTGGGAGCCCAGAGAAGGTGGAGCTGCAGGGGTGCAGGAGCTGCAGGGGTGGGGGAGCCCAGAGGTGGGGCCTTCCCGGCAGGAAGCTGGCCCTCCTAGTTAGGAGGAAGCAGAGCAGCTGTCACACCTCCCTAAGTCTCACCACCTTTGGACTTGGACTGTGAAAGCTTCAGCAATCTGCTCCAGAAGCAAGGAGCAAGAAAGCGTGCAGAGAGGAGAGGGACAGAGCCCTAAGGTGTCCCTTGGCCATCCCTGTCCCAAACGACGAGGCTACCACTGCTGTACAAGCAATAACCACACACCCTGAGCCCCCACTATGTGCCAGGGAAGCTCCACCCCCAGGAGAATCAGCCAGACCCTCCTCCTCCGCACTTGACCCACAGGAACATGCAAGCTGAAACCTTCACCCTTCCCAGCTGCTTGAGAGGCTCCCGTCACCAAAATCCATCTCAGAGTCCAAGATCCTAAGTGTCATGCAGAAACAAAACATCTTACGACCACCTGGTCCAGGTTTATCACAGGTTCCTTCTAGGACAGCAAACCCTTTATCGTCCACAACTATAGACCAGACCCCTCCACCATCGGCACCTGCCCTGCTGTGGCCAACTTTGTTCATGGCTACAACTGGCTGAACTGGGTGAACAACTTGGTAAAAAATTATTTGAAAGGAGAGAGAGAGAGAGATTTCGCTCCCCAAATGGCTGCAGTAGCCAGAGCTGGACCAGGTGAAAAACCAGGAGCCTGGAACTCCAACCGGGCCTCCCACATGGGTGGTAGGTTCTTGAGCCATCATCTGTGGCCTTCCAGGCTGCGTGAACGGGAACTGGATCAGAAGTGAAGCATATAAAACTTGAACTGGTGCTTCCATAGGGTGCCGGTGTCACGGACGGTAGCTTAACTCCCTGTGTTACAATGCTGACCCCAACTCAGTAACTGGCTCCTGTGTCCCTGTATCTAAATCCAAGACCGCCAATCCTCACAGTGCGTGTCAAATGTGCCCCACCTCTGTCCATGACCACAGCCGCCTCCCCAGTCCCAGCCTCCCTCTGTTTGCTCTCTCCAGGGCCTTCCCAGGAGCCTCCCACGTGGTCTCTGCCCCCACATCTGTCACTCACATCTTGTTCACACCAATCAGACCATTCCCACCCCTGCCCACGTGGGTTCAGGGTCCCAAGGTTTTGGGCCATTCTTCACTGCTTTCCCAGGCCACAAGCAGGGAGCTGGATGGGAAGTGGAGCAGCCAGGACATGAATCAATCCCCATATGGGATCTGGTGCTTGCAAGCAAAGGATTAGCCAATTGAGCTATATCATGGGGCTTGCAATGCCTTCTAAATGACTGTTTTCTCTGCTAAACATTGCGACCCATGTTTCTCCATGGCCATTTTAAAATTTCAGTCATGGGACTAGCATGGTGGCTCAACAGGCTAATCCTACGTGGCACCAGCATCCCAGATGGGCGCCAGTTTGTATCCTGGCTGCTCTTTTCCCAATTCAGCTCCTGCTTATGGTCATGGAAAGCAGTGGAGGATGGCCCAAAGGCCACGGACCCTGCACTCACATGGGAGACCCAGAAGAAGCTCCTGGCTTCAGCTCAGCTCAGCTCAGCTCCAGCTGTTGCAGCCATTTGTGGAGTGAACCA